GCAGAGTTTAGCTCCAACCCCAATTAAACACACCTGAACCAGCTAATCAAGCTCTTATTGACATACTAGAAACTTACCAGCAGGTGTGTTGAGGCAAGTTGGAGCTAAACTCTGCAGGACACCGGCCCTCCAGGACCGAGTTTGGGCACCCCTGTCCTAGAGCAAATGGTGGAAATGTCCTGCAATGAACCTCGTTTATCCTTTCATGGCTGTTTCTTTCAGCCCTCCACATTTTATATACAGGAGCTGCAATGCCCTCTGGTGGACATACTGACTTGTTGCATACGACAACACTATTCTGCATTTGTTTCAAATGTGCTCCCAGTTTTACTGCCTTTGCTAAGGTGCAGTTATTTCAGAATTATTCCTGTGCCAGATTGGTCTTGAAAGAAAGTCAACTTAACCTTTAGTGAAAGATCAAACTCAATGCATCTCTTTTTTTCTCTTTCTCTCTCTCTCAATATCACCAATGTATTTCAGGTATCTCAAGCCAGATGAGAACAAAAAATCAAAGCACAAGACAGCTGTCAAAAAGAAGACCCTCAACCCCGAATTCAATGAAGTAAGATGAACTTGACCAATGCCTGATTTACAGAATCTGTAACTCACATTAGTTTTTATAAATGCTAATTCCATTCTCCCTATAACAGGAGTTTTTCTATGAGATCAAGTATGCTGACCTCAGCAAAAAGACCCTGGAGGTGACCGTTTGGGACTATGACATTGGCAAATCCAATGATTTCATTGGTAGGAACTATTTACAAATTTGGTTTAATCTATCTTTTTATCATTTATTATTAGGGCCCGAGCACCGATGGTGTGAGGACCCTATTGGAATTGCTCCGTTTCTTATTCTTCTTCTTCTTCTTCTTCTTCTTCTTCTCCAAAGTGAATCGCATTTTTGAGGGCCTAAACATTCTCCCCCGTTCATCGCTGCTTGCAGCTTTAATTTTTTATTATTATCTTTGCGCTATATTTTTATTTTTCATTTTTACAGTTTGAATTAAGATCTGTTTTTAATGGTATGTTACCTATTGAAAGCAGTACCAAAGGTTAACTCCTTTTACGATGTAAGATACAATCCCAGGGCTCAGTAGTAACATTTTTTTTCTGATTTCCCAGTCAGGCCAGTAGTTCAGATTTCTACTTGCCCTGCTCACATTTTTGCATTTTACAAGTGTAATTTTTATGAACTTTTGAATATGAATTTTATATTTAGAATCATTTTACATTTCTTGTTATAACTGTCTAATTTTTACATTGTTGTATTAAATTATTCATAAACATTGTTTTTCATTAAAAATGAAATATTTCATAAAATATAAAGCACATTTACTATAATTGTCTAATAAAAGAATTTACTATAATTACTAGAGCCCGACCGATATGGGTTTTTTGGGGCCGATACCGATATCGATATATCGGCCGATATTCTTTGTGTATATTATAGTACAGTACCAGTCAAAAGTTTGGACACTTTCCCATTCGTGTGTCCAAACATTTGACTGGTACTATATATAGAATACAGTATATACATAAACAGAATATATACTTTAATTCAATTCAATTCCATTCAAAGTTTATTTCACTTTGGAACATTCATTCACGGATTTGCGCTACTGTCTTCACACACAGACGAAACTTACTAGAGAAGTGTGAAGTGTGACATAATATACCTCTGTAAATAAATATAAATTAAGATTTTATCTGCGTTATATGTTCTGTAAAAAAACATTTTCATATCGGCGGCATATCGGCTAAACGATATATCGGTCGGGCTCTAATAATTACTATAAAACTCCCAAGACAGCAACAAATTATTTTGCAATAAACAATTACATGAAAGAGAAAATACAAGGAAAAACATTACTGGTTTGTAATTTTCAACCCATTCGTACTGATGTCATGATGATGTAGTGAAGACTATCACAAGTCATTCGTACTATTTTGACAAAACCTTGTATCTGTTCCAGCCAGCTAGTCGTCCAACTGTCAGATTGAGAAGCTGAATTAGCAACCAAATGTAACAGAAAACCAAACGTTTAAGTTTGCAAAAAATGTTTGTACATTATCAAAGGATGCAAGATGCTGACCCAATTGACCCTTCGCAAAAAGACCCGCCCCCATTCGTTACTGTTGCTACGTCCAACAAGCCATGCTGCTCTCACACCACACATCATCTTCTCATGCAGTGAAAAAAACTGACAACACGCTGACAGACAAGACAGAGCAAATGACTTTTGGTATGAAGCAGTCTCAGCTTTCAAATTTTGTCATTTTGTAAGAAATTCAAATAATACCGTTTTGCGACTCTTTAATGTGTCGTGACAGATCGCTGTAGCGCCTCAGTTCAAGCGGCCCGTGAACGATCATCTCTTCCTCTTTACTAGTTATAGCACAAAATAAACATGAATGATCAAACCTCAGAAAGTATCTTGTTTCAACCGTGGAAAGACGTCAATACACACCATTTTTTAAGTTTAAGTCCACCAATGTCAATCTGCTCTCCTGTCTGGTTTGTTTGTCGGACAAGCAGTTGAGGTCTGAGTCCCATGGGGAACCTTTGTGTTTTTTAGATGTTTTAATGAACATTTCCTCCCTTTCTCCAGGTGGAGTCTCTTTAGGTATAAATGCCAATGGCGAGAGGCTAAAACACTGGTTTGACTGTCTGAAAAACAAGGACAAGAAAATCGAGCGCTGGCACACATTAACCAATGAACTCCCTGGTTCAGGGTACAATGACTGAGAGGCTCTCTTTCCAGTGGATCCCCCGATGCCTGCCCCTTTCCTACATGATGTCCATGTAAAGCCCAGCAGCCTGTGATGGATGGATCAACAGTCCACTGATTTAGAGATGGGTGCCAGTATCTGTTCCCACACAACACACCTGCTCTATCTCTTGTACTTTTTCTGGTGTTGAGCTTGCAGTCTGATTGTGTGGCTTGATGTGGCTTTTGGGCTTATATAAGGGTCTTTAATCAGCCTGTGCTTGTACAGCCTCATTGAAAATGGAGAGATGTTGTTCCGACAGCCAACAAGAGATCAGTTCCTGTTTTCAAATATTTAACCACACTCTACTGCTCTCTTTCTCCGTTCTCTTGAGGTTTTCTGTGTATTCAGGAATCCTGTTTACAGAAATTAGCTGTCAGTAAATGTATCATTATGCGTGTGCATCATGGCAGCAAAGGGGCTCTGAAAATACGCTTTCCAAAACAATATTGTTTACAGTCCAAAACCTTTCTGATGCCTATCTTAAGGCCAGGGTATAAACTACACAATTGTATTTTACAGACAGATGATTGTGAAGATTATATCGGTTGGTGGAAGTTAAAGAATTTTAGTTCTTACAATATAAACTCCCAACAAATTTAAAGAGTTTTTACTTGCCCCTTCTCCTAGTTTGTCTACTTAATGAATGTAATTTACCTTTTAGTTTCAGTACTCTCACTGCAAATGAACAGTGTGCCATTGACATTAAGACAGCACACAGCAGAGTTTCAATAGCCATTTTTCTAGAGAGAAAACAGTTTACGCGAGAACACACACAAATGCTGAAAATGCTCTATTATAGAAATGAATACTATGGATTGATTTTTGAATTAAACACTGTGCCCAAGCCCAATTCATATATTGCATTAACATCTTTTACTCTAAAATTTTTCAGTCTGTAAATCAAAAAAAATGGACTGGACAAACTATTGTTTTGAGATTTATTAATAGCGTGTTTATCTTATTCTTCCTTTGAGCATTTTAAAGATGACTAAATATATTTTTTTAAATACTGTGCTAAAGTCATTAAACATATTTTAATTTTGTGGCATTCAATTATAACCAGTGTATTATTTTAACCTCTCTGTGTTATTGCATATTTAGCATGCCATTGGTGGGTATCGTAGATATTATTACTGTATATTTAAGTTGTTGTTTTTTCCCTCATTACCAGGATTTTATTCATTAAGGTAATCTCTAGATTGGAGATAAGACTTCAGATGTTGGCTATTTATTAAACACATTGAAACTCCAAGGAGAACCGTCTACAGCCGTACAATGTAAGTTCACCAACTGAGAAACCTTATCTCTCTTGACAGTTCATTGTGCAAGCCACTCCTGTGACATTTTTGTAATCTTTTTGCTTTTGTACACAAACTCTATGGCATAAAAATGCATGCAATGTTCTTGGGCTGTCATTAAAATAACTTTGCTTAATGTTTGATACTGCTGTTCTCCTCTGTAAAAAGAGAGTTCCTGCTTTTGGATGCTACAGGAATGTCAGCCTTCCTTCTCGGACCGTTTTTGTACTTTTGAACGCTATCGCATTGCCCGTCAGTTTGCTCTATTGACTGGACATGTGACTGCATGTTACAAAAAATAAATCTTGTCTTGTTTTGATCATTTTAACTCTCAGGCAATTGTTTGCATATGATAGTGGTTCTCTGATTAAGTCAATATATTTCTTCTCCTGGTTCACCTTAATCTTGCACCGAATGGCCGAATTATCGTGCCTTTTCTTTTGTAACAGTGTGTTTTTGCACCACTCACTTTACAGAGATTGAAATTAGTTTTTAATATGGAAACAATACAATACATATGGCATAGTTATATTCTTGTCTGTGTTACACTGTTAAAACACTGTCTCCTGTAATATGCCTCTTAAAGGCACATAATGGGTATCCTTACACTGTGTGATAGTGCTGATGATGGCATGGGTGCAAGGCTGAGGTGGAGGATGCTTGTATAACTTCAGATTCTGGCATCTGGTAGTGTTAAACATTCAGACTAAAAAAAGAAACCTATTGGCTTTGTTTGCTGCCTCACTCATTGTACATCTTAAATTGCTCGTGCGTTCTTTTTATTTAAATGTTTATTTAAACCATATTATAAGATCTTTAACACATTGTGTTTTGTTATCCATGTTCATTTTTGTGCACGTCATGTTTGTTGTTAAAAGCCACCTGAAGTGAAAATATCGTAGAAATATAATGAACCACTGAAAGCATTAAGGGTTTAACTATAATGTCATTATCAAGTGCTGTCAGACACCAGAATCTGTTGTTTACTTTAATTTTTGTCCAATTTCAAAACTGTTCAAGTATTAAATCTAGAGTGTTTTTTACGATGGCGAATGATATTTGCTATTTACATGTTCAGAACTGGAAACCCATGTCAAATAAAGTAGAAAAATAAAATGAGTTCACCTCTTTTTGTCTTGGACATTAATATCAAACTGGAAGAAAACTGTGCCCTTGGAACTCTGCTTAAAAAAAACTGAATATTGAATAAAAATGATTTAAAAAATAATGTTAGGAATGTTTTATTGTTTCATGAACCTATTTTAGTTGTGCCAAAAACATCTAAAAAAAAAAAAAGTTTACATGAACCTCATTCTTTCTATAATAATGCTTTTAAAAATTGGAATTAACACCTTTTTGCATAAAAAAAAAAGTTTTATGATCTGGAAAAAACTAACGACAAAGAACTTTAAACTTTGAACTCTCTTAAAAGTACAGACACCTGCTGTTCCTTCTGGGCTTCCTGCCATCTGTGGCCTGGTTCAGCCAGAGCCTAATAACTCAACAGCTCCACCATGTGTTGTAAGCCTAGTCTCTGAGCATCATCTATAGGCCTGTTGTTGAACCTGTCTCTTTGCTGTCATTTCAGAGAAGATTGAAATAATGTTGCTTTTAATACAGGTACAGTGATGCTTTTATATCCATACAGAACCAAAAGTAAGGACACATCTGGCTTTCTCATGACTTTAAAGGGAACCTATTATGCAAAATCCACTTTTATATGGTGTTTGGACGTAAATATGTGTTGGCAGTGTATGAACACAACCACCCTACAATGATAAAAATCCACCCACTCCACATTTTGTAATCCCCTTTAAACCAAGTCAGTCTCACTAGGCCTCATGCAGTGTGATGTCACATTGCATAGGGCCGGGTCACGGGGTTTGATTGACAGCTCTGCATTGCTATAGTTTCCGCCCTCAGCGGTTGTTTGCTGTCCTCCATTTTCCCCACGCTTGAGCAGCTGTAACGTCAACAATGTCTCGCAAGCAATCCCGATGCTCTGTGTTTGGATGTAAGACTGAACATAAGAGTCTTCATTTTCTCCCAACATCTGAGCTGCTGAGGACGCTGTGGATTACTTTCATTTTTCAAGGTAATGCGCCTCAAAATCTACCTAAATACGTGTATCACTCCAGACCCCATTTTTGAATGTCATGTCGTTATTAGAGGTCGACCGATATGGGTTTTTCACTGGCCGATGCCGATATTTAGACATCAGGGCAGCCGATGGCCGATGTATGATGCCGATTTTTTTTTTCCCGCTATTTTGGCCGATTTTGTTTAGTTTTTTCCCCTTCATCTCATAAAAGTGAGTTTGAGTAAATGATTATTGCAGGGTACAAGATAGTAATAGTAGTAGTAGCCTAATTCAGAGTAATAATACATGGCTCAAAACTTAAGCACCTTCTCAAAACAGTTCTGAAGCATGCTTTTTGTTTATGTTTGCTGACAGACACCAGTGTTTCCCACAGACTTGCAAATGAAAATTCATTCTCTGCCAACAGGAGGCGCTGTTGGAGCGAGCGATATAGCGGTTTCCCCGGTAAAGGCTGTAATCAAATAAGCACTGAGCTCAGTCACAAACGCTACTTTATAAGGCATTACATGAAAGACAAAATGAAAATGACACCTAGGGCTGTGTATCGTTCAAAAATTTTCAATATCGATACCGATACCTTGACTTCGATACTGGTTCCTGAGCGATACTTTTTTCGATACCAATTTTATGAAATAAATTTTAAGATTACATTATCTAAAAAAAAAAAAAACCTTTGGTTTTATTTTTCAGCTTGTTGATGTTTATACAAACTCAAAGACTCATCTCCTGAGCCACTGCACAAAGGAACAAAATGTAACCAACACAATAAATCAGTGCAAAATAGTTTTAATAAAGCTCAAATAGTCTTCAGTTTACACATCTGTTAGGCTACATTTACACTAGTGCGTGTTCGTTTTAAAACGCAGCTCAGACAGAATCATGATTTCTATTAATTTTCCACTGATTTACTGATGAGCATTAGCAGCTTCCAGCGCGGTCTGCTTGTGTTCTCTCTTCCATGATCGCTGCTCTGACTCAGAGGTAATAACATATTTAATTTCAGCAACATTACATGGCCAAAACACACATTAGACGGCAATCGGAAGTTATTGCAAACACTCGATGGTGGTTTAAAGTGAGTTTTGAGTAAAAGCGGAATATAAATCTTATGTAGCATGATGCTACAGTGTGCATGAATGGTCACGTAACAC